AAAGGTACTTTTTAGAAATAGAACTTTCTTAAATTAGCTGTGTTCCAAGGGCATGACACTGCCTTGTAGTCCAAGGTTTCGAGCTCATAATATTCATTGCCCTTACTCAGGCTACTATGTACGGTCCCTCCCAATTCGCTCCGAGCTTTCCATGTTTAGGGCTTTTAGCCGATCCTAATACACGTCAGAGGACCAAGTCTCCTAGTGCAAAAGATCACGGATTTACTTTCTTGTTATAAGCTCGGAACATTTGCTGACGATAAGAAGTCATTCTTATTGCTGGTTACTCTCATTTCTCTTCTACCAGATCCAGATCTCGGGTCATAACAACATCATTACTATTGCTTTCAACTAGCCCGGTTCTAAGAGTCAGTAAGCCGATATGTAATGCAATTACTGCCTCTATCCCATAGGTTCAAGAAAATGGGGTTTCCCCAATTGATCGCCGAGGTGTGGTTCAATATGTCCATAGGACACTTGGCAATTTTTCAACCCATCTTCCTTTGGCATCCTCCAATCTCTTCTTAATACCATTAAGTATTGTTTTGTTGAAAATTTTTGCTTGTCCGTTACTTTGGGGGTAAGTTGGGGTGGAATAGGGGTTCCAAATTCCAAAATGCTGATAGAAAGCTTTGAAGGGACTACTATCGAACTGTGTGCCATTATTAGAAACAGTATGAGGGGATTCCGAATCTGGTAATGATGTTCCTCCAGACGAACTTCCTTGTATCAATGTCTTTGATATTGGTTAGGGGTGCGGCTTCCTCCCACTTCGTGAAATAATCAGTTGCAATACTTCTTGTTGCCAGGTGCCCGAGGTAGAGGTCCCACTATGTCTAGCCCTCATTGCGTAAACGACCATAGGCTCGCCAATAGAAGCAGCTCTTGGGATGGTTTTCTTAGTATCGATGAGAATTTTTGACACTTCTCACACCGCCTAACAAACTGTTGAGCATCCTTTTCAGATATGACCACCAAAAACCTTGAGAGATGGCTCGGTGAGCCAGAGATCTTCTGCCAGTTTGAGCACTGCAGCTTCCTTCATGAATTTCAGATAAAAAGTCAGGGATTATGTTCAGGTGTACATACTTTAGATACGGGCCTCCAAACGAGCGTCGATAAAGCTCATCCTTCGAAGATAGCCAGAATCTAGCAGCTTTCAGACTTAGCTTATGAGCTTCCTTGTTGTCCTTAGACAAGTTACTATTCTTCAGGAAGTCAATGATTGGATCCATCCAGCTTGGCTCGATTTTGCTACATAAAACTTCATCAAGTTTGGTCGACAAAATGCTAAGCTCGGGCTGGAACTCAATGGTAAGAGCTCTTTTAGTTTCTTGGTCAATGGCCGAAGCCAGTGAAGCTAAAGTATCGGCATGTGAATTCTTTGCTCTTCCAACCTGCTGGATTGTGTATTCTGAAATTTTGCTTAGTTCATTTTCTGCTGGATTGTGTATTCTGAAATTTTGTTTAGTTCCTTTTCTGCAAAGGCTTGATATGCCATCATTCTTTCATCCTTTGCCACATATTCCCCTATTATCTGATTTACAACTAGTTGTGAATTAGAGAATATCTAGAGCTTTTTTGCCCCCAGTTCAGTTGTCAGCCTTACTCCTGCTATTAGAGTCTTATACTCAGCTTTGTTATTCGAGGCTTGGAAGCCGAGCCTAATGGCTTTTTCTAGAATACATCATTTTGGACTTCCTAGAGTGAGGCCAATGCCAACACCCTTTTGATTAGAAGAACCATCCACAGATCTGCCCCGAACTGTCTTTAGGTTGAAATTCAGCAATGAAGTCTACCATTATCTGTCCCTTGATTACTTTCCTTGACTTGAACACAATGTCAAACTCCCCGAGCTTGATTGCCCATTTGGCAATGCGTCTTGATAGATCGGCTTTTTGAAAAAGGGACTTCAATGGCTAATCACTGAGCACTGTGATTTGGTGAGCTTGAAAGTAATGTCTGAACTTCTTAGTCGAACTAACCAGTGCGACCGCGAGCTTCTCTAGTGGAGTATACCTTGATTCTACATCTAAGAACATCTTGCTCACATAATAAACAGGTCTTAACTTTTCACGATCGTTCCTCATCAGTGCACTACTCACCGCGTGTTCAGATACAACTAGGTAGAGGAATAAGCTTTCCTCTGATGATGGGGTTAAAAGGATTGGTGGGGAGGCCAAGTATACCTTCAAGCTTAAAAATGCTTCCTCGCATTCCAGACTTCAAAAGTGATCCCTTCTTTCCTTTGATCAATTGGAAGAAATGTCTGCACCTATTAGATGCTCGAGATATGAACCTTCCGAGCGCTGTTGCCATTCCAGTTAGCCTTTGTACCTTCTTTACAGTCTGAGGTGATTGTAGTTTTGCAGTGACATTTACCTGATCGAGGTTCACCTCTATTCCCCGGTGGATAACCAGGAAACCAAGAAACTTCCCCCCATCTAACCCCAAATACACACTTCGAGGCATTTAATTTCATCTTGTATCTCCGCAGAACGTCGAATGTACTTTTCAGGTCGGCACAGTGACTAGTGGCCCTTCGACTTTTAACCACCATGTCATCAATATAGACTTCTATGGTGCTGCCTAACATATGTGAGAACATCTTGGTTACCAACTTCTGATATGTTGCTCCTACGTTCTTTAATCCGAAGGGCATTACTTTGTAACAGTATGTCCCTTCAGGCATTATGAAGGCAAGAAGCTCATTTGCTCATGCCCGGCAGTTTCATCGACCAATTGATTAATCTTAGGTAGTGGGAATCTGTCTTTTGGGCAGACTTTGTTAAGGTCGGTGAAATTAACACAAACTCTCCACTTTCCATTTTTCTTCTTTACCATCACAGTGTTTGACAGCCAGGTTAGGTATTGCACTTCTCTGACGGTTTGGGACTCAAGCAATCGTGTCATTTCCTTCTTTACTGCTTCCTGATGTTGGGGTGCCGACCTCCCGAGTCTTTGTTTTACTGGCTTGAAGCTCAAGTCAACATTCAATTAGTGACATGCCACTTTGGATGGTACGCATGGCGTTTCACTCGTGCTCCAAGCGAAGACATCGACATATTCTCTAAGTACAGTGACGAGCTCACTTTTTCGTTCAGGGCTAAGAGCTTTTTCCAACAAAAAGTACTTATTCTGGTCATCATCCTTGTTTAAAGGTACTTTAGTCAAGTCTCCGATTGTGTAGTCAGTACCTTCTTTTTATGCGCCTAAAGGTATTTTAGGGCTTTTCATATCAGTTTGGCTGATGGAATCAACCGAGCTGTCGAGCATTGATTGCTCGGCTACTAAGTTCCTCTCTCAAGCCTCTACTCTATCTCTAGCTTTGACTGAGGCCAATAAACAAGTTCTGAAACTTATTTGGTCTCCTCTAATATTGACTATCCCTTCAATCGAAGGAAATCTCAGCATCTGGTAGTATATTGATGGTACCGCCTTCATTTCATGTAGCCAAGATCGCCCCATAATTGCATTATATGCTAAGATCGTATCAACTACCAGAAATTCGGTCATGACGCAAACTAGTCCAGTTTTCACAAGCAGCATGATCCTCCCTCTGGGAACTATTGTTTTCCACTAAAGCCAATTAATGGAGTATTAGAGGGCTTAAGATCCTCCTGCTTGAGACCGAGCTTTTTGAAGAGGTCTATGTACATAATTTCGGAGGAACTCCCCGGATCAATCAGAACCCTCTTTACATCGTAATTTGCAATTCGAAGCGTTGCAACGAACGTGTTGTTGTGCGGCTGATGAACCCCGATCAAATCCTGTTCGGTAAAGCAGATGGCCTCGTTTGACTCTTCCACCTTAATCTTTTTATTCCTAACATTTGGGGTCAATCGTAGCTGATAAACTTCTCTTTCTCTTGAAGCTTCCTGAACATATGCCCTAGCAGCATTATTCGTCGACATTTGCAGATTCGTTGCAGCATATATAACATCTATTACTCCTGTTGTCGTAGTTTGGTCTCTTTTTGGCTCTGTCCTTCCCCTGTCGGGTCTTGCACCATCCTCGATGAACTCGACGAGATGTCTAGCCTAGACCAATGCCTCCAAATGCTGCTTTAAGGATTGACAATTTTCGATCATGTGACCTACATCTCGATGATATAAGCACTTGAAATTAGGGTTCCTTTTTGAAGGATCCCCTGTTAGTTTATTGGGCCACTTGAAAAATGACTTCCCTTAAATTTGAGTCAATATGCTATATATTGGCTCTCTGAATAGTGTATTTACCCCAATAAAGGGAGATTTTTAGGAAAATCCTTCTTTCCACCTTCCCTGCTTAGTTCGATTTGCTTATCACGGCTGAACTGCCTTCTGCTTTGATGTTCCTTACCCACATCTTTGGATAAGTCATCGTCGACTTTAGCGTACTTCTCGATTCTCGCCATCAGTTCTTCCAAGTTTGTGACAGGCCTCATAGTAAGAGATTGGTATAAGGGGTTCTCCTTTGACAACCCAATCTTGAAGGATACTACTGCGATTTTAGGATTACAAGCTTCTACCTCATTCATAGTCTCCCAGTAGCGATGAGTATACTCTCACAGAGTTTCATTTATTTCACTTCTTCAATGTCAGCAGAGCCCTGACATCCTTGGGCTGTTTACTGCTCGTAATTAACCAAGTTGTAAATTGCTCGGCTAACTGTGACCATCCGTCTATCAACCCCTTCGGCAAGCTGTTGAATCATTTTCATGGTCGATTCCCTGAGGCTGCTGGGGAAGATGGTGCAGAACAAGGGTTCGTTCCGCTGATGAATGGTCATCAGCAATCTGAAATGTCTGATGTGGGAGACTGGATCGGTCTTTCTATTGTAAAGCTTGAAATTCAGGATGGTGAATTTACATGGGATACATCCCCTTTCAATCCACAAAGTAAAAGGAGATGACTCTAAGCCATCACCGTATTCTCCAGTCGCCCTTCTGGCTAGATCCCTAGCCGACCTCTACTTTGGCTTCTTCAAACAGTTGTTTAGTTCTTCGGCGATGTACTACTTCCATGAGTTCTCCTCCTGGATCCGAGGTCTTTTCTGTTGGTACTTAACTTCATCAGCATTTTTGGTTCTATCATGTTTCCTTTTGAGACTTCCTCGCTGGTTTTCCCTTACACACTTCTCTTTCCTTGTCATCTTCTTTAGCTTGGCCTTGAGTTCCTCATCCTCTTTTATTAGATCGTTTTCCCCTGGCATAGGATTTCTTGAATAGCTTATCATGCGCATCAAGTCGGTCCTGCAAGGATTGGACCAACTTTGCCAAGGAGTGGTTCTCCCCCTCGGCATGGAAAAATTCACCACGATCTATAATTTGCTGGTTCTGATTCCTAGATGGTTTGAAACTTGCTGAGCATACCTCGTCATTCTCGTGGGGTCTAGATGGGCTTTTGTTGACATGCAATCTAATGTTGCTATCAGATGGAAGCGATACCGGATCAGAATTACCCAAGACAAAACTGCCTACAGGTGATCCAATGGCACTTCTGACTCTTGACATCATAGCTTTTTGTTTCGATTGATTAAAATCTTCACACAGATGACACCAAAAAATGTAGGAGGCAAAAAATGAAATTACCTCAATGGAATATGACTAGATAATTTGGGAAAAGAGAGTTTCTGAACTTGATCTTCTAGTCTCGTCTTCCTGCAAAACGAGCAAACTGCCCAAGATCAAAGACACTCCGATACTTAAGTCAGTAATGGATCTAATTGAATTGCATATAGACAAAAAGAGTTCATTGTATGTTTCACTTTGACTCCTTTCGCTTTTTATAGACCATGTTCAATTAGGGTTTTCATGAATTTCAATTCAAGGTGGCACACCTTCCTCCAATTAAGCGATTCAGTTTGGAAAGCTGCTGAAATCTCTTTGGCAGTTCCCTTGACCTATAATTAAGCTTATTAGCTTATCTTGGACGCCTAAGTTTTTGGCGAATCTTTATCTTTTCATTTACTATTTCAAAACAGCTCGGNTAATTAAGCTTATTAGCTTATCTTGGACGCCTAAGTTTTTGGCGAATCTTTATCTTTTCATTTACTATTTCAAAACAGCTCGGTCATGACGAGGACCGAGCTCTTTCGTTACTCACCGAACACCTTGAACAACACGGTTCGGTAAGGGCCAAGCTCTTTCATTGCTTGCCAAACAAATTGATCAGTTCGGCTAGGCCTATGGCTGATATCGTCCTCACATGCCTTGTCTTATCATCCTCACATGGGCTCATTTAATGTCATAACACGTAAAATAATGGGAGTCACTCTCTTCATGTTCTTTACATCCTTTTTTTTTTCAAAAATTGAAGAACCAAAAATTCAAACAAAAAAATACTCTTTGTTTTTAAAGTTTTAAGAATAAAAAACTGTTATAAAAAATCAAATCAAACAGACCCTCAATTTTTTGATGTTTGTGATTTTGATTCGACCCATGGTTTAATTATGGTTTTAGTTTTTAAACTTTTTAAGTTATTTGATCTTACTTGATATTTTGGTTTAACTATAATTTTGAATTTATCAGAAAAATTATGACATTAGAATAAACTTTTGGTTGCATTTGGGAGTGGATTTATGCACACACACTTGCCCAGACATCACACTGGTGTCGCTATATCATATGAACATACATACTCTTAATCATGTGTAGATTGTCTTGTGTTATATAATGTTTTCGGGCACGAAAATTAACTAGTGTGTATATATATATATTTGTTATGTCATAGTGACAAAGGTGATCGACAAAACTTTGTTCTCGGCTTATGACGTTTATTGAAAGTATGCGTACAACACCCCCAATTAAAACTTTCTTTTTTTTTTATTCTCTTTCAACTTTTTTCAATTGTTTCTCATTTGTTTAAATTTTTTTTATTTATTTATTACATAATACCTATAGACACGAGTAATTACTAGTTTATAATATAAAATAAGACATATTTCAATAAATCCATCCGACGGTTTCAAATAGATTTAATCAAATACTACCAACATCATTTTCAAAATTATTCACATTATAATAACCAAAATGACACCAAAAAAAAAAAAAACTTTAATGAAAGCGCAGTCGTTTCACCAGATTTCAAACTTTACCAACGCCACCGTTTCAAATGCCACGTTATTATTGCCGCCCGCGTACCTCACCAATATTTAGCGTCATACGTCCTGGGACGACGGTAAATTAGACTGAAACAAAGGGCATTATCGTAATTCGATGACTATATATAGGTTCAGGAGTTGAGGCTCTATTCCTCAGTCTGGCAAAAGGGGGAGCGACGCAGAGGAGTTTCCGTTATCCATTCCTCTTCTCTCTCTCTGTGAACATATTTATAGCTTCCTCCCTCTAAATTCTTCGGAGATTTTTTCTACCAGATCAAATCAGGGTTTTGCCAAAACTCTTCTGTGTCAATCCAATTGTTTTAGTCATGGATTCTGATTCGATTCGCAACGCTTCGATCCCTATGGTGGCTTCTAACGCCAGAGATTTCGCCAAGAAAAAGCGGGTTAGCACTCTCTCTCTCTCTCTCTATTTATTGGTATATCTGTGTGTGTGTATGTGTGTGGACGATTGTTTGTGTCTGTGGTTGCGTTTGTTTGTCTATTTGTATACGAATGATTTGATGCTATATAGTTTAATTATCTTTCTTTAGTTTTTTTTAGGTTTGATTTTTTGACCGAGTTGTGCGTTTTTCAGACGAATAGGTCGGCCAAATTGAAGCAATGCAAGCTTGATGCTCGTCGTGAGCAGTGGCTTTCTCAAGGTATGTTGAAGATGTGTTTTTATGAGATGTATTTATATATTTATATGCACGATCTCGTTCATGCAATTTTATGTTGCTGTAAACCTATCTGTCTGTATACATACGCATACATGCAGAGTTGTTTATAGATTTCTGTATGTGTGGGATTTTTTGGTATTATTTATGTTGGTTGATTATCTAATTTTTGGTGACTGGTTCTACACAGTGAAGAGTAAGGGAGATAACGAAAAATCGAGCGGTTGTGGAGGGAATCGTTCACTGCTGGTTCAGGTGGGAAAGGAGAGGGGCCGATCCGTGGAGAATTTGGAGATTAATCCTATAGGTGAAGAGAATTACGGGTCGATGAACCCTTACAGTGATTCAGAGTCGCCCTCGAACAGTCCCACCAGTCACACCAGTAGTGCCTCAGGAGGTAATGATTCTGGGTCCAGTTTTACTGGGAGCGGTAGGAATAGCAGCAGCAGCAGTGGAGGGTGTTGTTCAGGAAGCATAACAGAAGAAGAAGAAGGTGATGATGGGTGCTTGGATGATTGGGAGGCTGTTGCTGACGCTTTAGCCGCCACTGATGACATGCAAAAACAGCACACTCCTAATTTTAATTCAGAGGTGCTTCCCAAGCATGAGAATGAAAATGTTACCCGATCGGATTCTCCATTGCCAAAATTTAACGACCGGCCTGCTTCACATATTGATATTTCGAAGCCAAAGCCAGATTGTGTAAGAATCATGCAGAGAGCTCCGGCAAATTGTAGGGCTTGGAGACCAGATGATGCTTTTCGTCCTCAGAGTCTGCCCAATTTATCGAAGCAGCACAGTTTCCCCTTGAATTCTGACCGGCATTATCGTCATGGAAGAAATCCATGGGGTAACAAGCTTGTGTCTGCACCATCATCATGCCCGATATGTTTTGAAGATTTGGATTTCACTGACTCAAGTTTTTTGCCTTGTTCATGCGGGTTCAGGCTTTGCCTTTTCTGCCACAAGAGGATTCTCGAGCAGGATGCACGATGTCCAGGTTGTAGGAAGCAGTATAAATGTGATTCTTTAGAGGGAGAAGCATCCTTGGATGGAGGCAGCCTGACAATTCGGTTAGCTCGTTCTTGCAGCATGATCACGAGGTCTTAGGAAGAGTATCTGTGTTCCTTGAATATATTTGTTGGGTCGCTTATTTTGGTTCTTGCGTGTTTGCTTACCACTAGTCTCCAATTTTCGTAGTAATAAATTTCATGTAGGTATTGTCATTTTGAAGCATAGACTGCCAAGTGTTATTAGGCTGGTTCTCTTATGACTTTGCTTTGGTCCATCTATGTACAGTGCATGTGCTGAGATAGAGGACTTGTTGCTTTGTGAATAGATAAAGTGCTGTAGAAAGTGAATACATCAAATTCATTGCAATATGATTTTCTCCTCCTGTGGTGTTGATTGTGCACTTCACTTTTGAACTATATGAATATATAGGGACGAACAAAAGATATATCTTGTTTTTTGATGTCCCAGATGTCTGTTGTTATATAAATTGCTTTTGCTGATTACATTTGCGCAACTGGCGATTCAACTCTGGAAGCACTTGCGATGTTTGGAGGGCTATTCTTGTTAAGATATGAGGTTGACTTGAGCATGCCATTTTTTATATGAACTTGTGCATCTCATTGCTTAAGTCTATATAAGTAAAATAATTAAGACCATAAAAGACACCGTTTCTATATCACAGATGTTGTATGGTGTATAAAATTTATTAGCTGATAGGTAGAGCCATAGGTGATTCAGCTCTGGATGCTTGTTCATACTTTCAAATAGGGTATTCTCACTATGATTAGTTTGTTCTTGAATTAAAATGGAGCAGTATAAATTTTGAGGTCTAAAACTTGAACTACTTTGCAAGTTTTTTGGTAGCTATGGTTTGCTAAGGGAGCCCTTGAGTCTTAAAATTTTGTGAAGTTACTCCAGGCCAAAAAATTGATGAGGTAGCTCTTGAGGCCTTAGTTTTGATATTGAGGTTCTTTTTTGTTTCACAAGGTTCTAGTTTGTTTCACACTGAGTTTTTATCTTTTGTAGTTCTCGTCATCGCTTGTCCTTTCTTGGTGCCGACAACCATCAAACTGCTTTGATGGGTGGCACTTGAGACTAAAATTCTCCTTAATTTCTAATTTCTTCTATAACACTGTAGAAAAAAAAAAGCCTTTGCGTCTGGTAGCTCATATTAAACAATCTTTTTCTGTAACTGATAAGTAATGTGGTTTCTTATGTTATACAATTCTGATTTCTCATGTTGTGATGAGAACATATTTTGTCTCCATCTGTCTGGGTCATGCTCTCAAACTTGCCTTGTTTTTTGCTTGTGGTTCATCATTTGCATGATCCTTGGGAATCATATTTGGCTCTCCTAGGTGGAAATGACTGAAAGATGAAAACAATTGGAAATCAAAATGATCTCTCCACCATCTTGATCCACTTTAGCCCTCTGTAGTTGTATGAGAAAAAGGTCACTCCATCATGAAAAAGGTCATTATCGGTATCTGTATTCCATTGTCGCACCTGCCTTAATAAGAAGATTTGTTGTTTGGCAGATTGGTTGAATTTTAGAGGAGAAAGAAATGACGCGAACAGTTTTGCAATTGAACAGGATGTGTTTGAAAGTAAGGTCAGATATTTCATTTGAAAATCTTTTGGAGATGTTTTGGAAAGAAGAAAGATGGAAACAGGAGCACAAATCAGGCGGTGATGGTAAGAATGCAAGATTCTCCATCATGTTGCGGGTGCCTATATGATTGCAGCAAATTTTGGCCAGCTAATGCCTTTTTTTTCCCCTAGCATATGCAAGATGTTCCATACACTATAGAGAGATCTTTTGTGTTTTTATGAACTCTTTAATGCTTTGGCGAAAGGAAGAATTTCATTGGAACGCAAAACAAGTACAACTAGAGTTATGAATAAAGTACAACAAAGCAGTGAAGCAAGTAACAAACTAGCTGAAAGAGAGACACAAACAAAGCTACAAAACCGAACATTGGAACATTTTTGTTGTGTTTACATGAACAGATGCAGGTTGTGAAGACAGAGTCAAGCCTTTGAGCTTAGCTGTGGAGCTAATCTGAGTTATTCTCAAGAAGGTCACCAAGTAAGAAAAAGACCTTCCCTAACCGCTCATGTACTCTGAAATGCAGGATGCTGCTCTATGTTGAGGAGGAAGCATTTTCCACCACTTGACAAAGGTTGATTCATCCAAGAAAATGTCGTTGCGTAGCTCCCCATCACGAACCCAATTGAGTACTTGTTTCTCTAAGGTCAGAATTCTCCCCTTCACATCATCAAATGCCTTTGTTCTTAATTCCTCCACCTCAGCCAAGAAAGATGACTCCGAGCTCGATCCAACTGGCATTCTCTCAGCGTGCTCTCGCCATCTTTGTGTGTATCTGTAAAGTTTTGGCCTACCCTTAATCAAGTAAGGTCCAGTGTCATCACCCTTAAAGTGTCTGTAGTAGTTGGCAATGTCTAGAGGCTCAACCACTCGCCTATACCTGGTTCCTAGCTCTATCCACTCTTTCTGGCCCTCAAAGTCATCTGGAAGTTCATACTTTTTTAACATTTCAATGATGGGATCCCACGCGTCTGTCAGCTCGACCCTCGTCACATTGGCATAGAAGTCGCTGTCATATTTGTGAATCTTGAAGGCATCATAAGAACCCACGTTGCGTGCTACACACTCGGCTTGGTAAACTTGAATCTTTGTTAGTCCTTTTTCAATGATGACCTTAAGTGAATTTGTCTTTTCCTGGTTTTGCAACTTTTTCTTCTCCGTCTCTCCAGCAGCTTGAAGACACAATCTAGCTCCTGTGTTCTGGTATTTCAAGCTCACAAAATTAGGAAGGGTTGTAATCATAATTTTTTTTTTTTTTGAATTTTATCAGATGAAATTTCGTAGTTTGTTAAATATATCAATTATCAAACTTCAAACTGATGAATCTTAAAGCCTCTTCTTATTTGCAATGTTTTAGATTTCTACAGATTCAGACATAGCAAAGCTTTTGAACTGAAATTGAGAAGTTGACATAGAGAGGAGAGACTCACCAGGCCAAGGTCATTGAGGACTGCGTCTGTTGTTGCCATATCGTCTGAATAATCTAGATAAACCACATCTTGCATGTTTAAGCTTTCTTTCACTTCATCTTCATAAATCAGATGTTCTCTGAAGCTTTTATAAATAACTCCTGCTGCTTCTGCTTCAGAGCTTGGCTGAGCACTGTAGAACAGCAACTGAAGGATAGCGTCCGGATTCCTCAAAACAACCAGTTTTCCATTTCCAGTGCAGAAGATATAGGTACCAAAAGGTCTATAAGGGCTAACGTCAATGGAGCTAGAGACGGTTTCCAACAGCAAATTTGTGTATCCCATAAGATTACAAGCAGCATGGCTAGCAACTAATGACGCATTCATCATGACAGTCTTAAAAAAAGTTGAAGCTATACTGGATATGCCACTGAATTCTTGCTCAAACGATGAGGATTTCGGTTTGAAGAGATCAAGAATTGGTAGGAGTTCTTGTTCAATGGATGAGACGGGACCGAGCATTATACGGGGGACAATATCATATCTCAGCACAAAATGGAGGAAGTGAGGAGCCCATTTCTCTCTCCCGAGACCATGTTGGAAAATCCGATCACCGACAAGTGGGGACCCAAATGTCACACATTTCGGAGGAATTGTAGTGGTGTGTGATCTTATGTATTTCTCTAAGAACCAAACGGCTGCAAGGATGGCTATTGCACCGCCTGAGGAGTGCCCTGCAAACACAATCTGTCTTCTCTCTGAAACTGCTTTATATACCTAAGATCCAAATTGGACATGCACATGTTAATTTTCTAACTTTGTGATTAGTAGATAATAAGGAATACTATTCAGTCTTTGCATTTCTGATGTTTTAACTTTTACTTATCATTCCTCTCGAATCTAATTGCTTCCCCTCGAAATTTGTTGGCCTTGAATATAGAGAGATATTCATGATTGGGGGTTTAGGAGGTCAGATTCTTTTTACTGTCGATTTCTTTTTTCTGAGAAGTTTTACCTTCATTTGCTAATCGATTATACAGGTAGCTTTTCAGCCAAATTTGTGAAGGGCATCTGCATCTAAGTGCACGAGTTTTCCGCTACTTCTGGGTTTGATAAAGGTAAAGATACATATAATTTTCCCTCGGTATATTGTTGTATATATTACGTTTGGCTTACTGGCTATACTGATCAATGAACAGAACTTCGTTCATTTCAGCATCAGGGGAAAGGAACTAACATTGTTATTTTGGAGATTATTGAGAATATAAGGTGAAGCAAATTTATGATTTCTGCAGTGAGTTGACTTTATTATGTTGTACAAGGAAACTAGAACTCTGACAAGTACTAATAATGGTTGAATTGTAATGGGTACCTCAACTTCCAGCGATGATTTTGCTTTAATTTCTTCGAATCTATTATAAAATGCCTCATTCACCGTCGCGATTTCATCGTTGCCAATGCTTCTGAGAGATGGAGAAAATTCCCGGTTGACTTTCATGTCTCTAAAAGGCTTTCGACTGAACCAATCATCCATAGACCACGATCCAGCAAAGCCAAAGATGGTCACAGACGGGCTGTGACTCTTCTCGGAGAGATAAGGCTTCCCAGTAGATTTGTGAGCTTTCATGGCTAGACAACAAGCTTTCTGTATGAGCTCTTCACTCATTCCTACATTGTTTTCAAACCTCTCTCCCTCCATCTTGCCTTTTGGCACTAGCAGTTGCTGTTAGGCTTCTTTTCTTGCTCTCTGTTCTTCGGTTCTGTTGGAATTTAAGGGGAGATTGTTGCTGTTTAAATTACTGGCATTGCCCTTGCTGAGGTTAGGTTATAACTTACAATCATAAAAAAGTTTGAATCGTGGAGGCCTTTTTTGTCTTTTGGAACTCGTTGACTTGGGCTTGGAAAGTCTCTGGGGTGGATGAAATATCCTACGAAATTGCTTCTACCTGCAATGTTTGTCTCAATTAAACGATATTTACAAATTAGATCAAGATATTAAATTGAATTAGCATTATTATTCGGGGTCGTACAAATAAAGCTTATGCCCTTTATTATTATGATTATAGAGTTGACCATAAGCCATTGAACTGGTTAGGGTTTTTTTTTTTTTTGGTTTTTTCAACACAGAAAGTTTAAGAATTTGCTAAGAAATGCATAGCAGGCATCTATAATGTCTCTTTTCTTTTGGTTCAATGATCAGGAAATTTTTGGGTCAGTTTATGTGTAATTTAATTAATTTTTTATTTATTTATTTAAAAACATATTATTTAAATCAGGATTAAGGTATTTGTGAAAAATAATTCTTTCATAGTCTGAGAGTTTGACATACAAGTTTATGCCAAATTGGTCTATCATATACACTAAGGTTTTGATATCTCGCATTACGGGTTCTAACTATGACATTCACAAATTATTGTTCAGTACTATATCTTTATTTTTTGTCCAATAAAAGCATCGTGTAATTTTATTTTATCTTTTTAATATTTTTATAATTAATAATTGCAAATACTTCAAATTAAAATTATCTTTTTCATGATAATAATAATTTTTTATGGTAAACGGTGATATCATATAATTACTATCATAGTGTCACCATCAAATAAGAACACAATTAAATGGGTAAAGTGAATCCTATTATTTTACATGAATATTAAATTATATAAATTAATTATTTTTTTTATAACCCTACGTGATAGCGACAAAACCTCTATTAATAAGGGTGATAATTTCTGACTTAACACGATAACACGAATTTAAAGAGTTGCAATCGATTATAATTTAACACAAACTCGAACATGAATATGACCTGATACGCAAATATGAAATACGAACAAATCGTATTCGAATTGAATCCGCTTAACTCGGAATTGACATAATATATCCGTTTATTTATTCGTGCCACGAATCAATAATTTTTTTTATTTAAATTGACGTATTTAATCTGTTTCCACTTTCCACGGTGTATAAAAAAGAAAAATATAACACCGAATAAGACGGGCAATGTTATTAAAAAAAAAAAAAAGGGGCCGGCGATGTCCTTACTTTATCTGACTACACGTCTACACCCACGTGGTGGTCAGTGACTTGACCATCAACAGCCCCTCACTTTCCCAGCTTTTCAAATTTTAGCCCCCAACCTTTCACTTTTTCCTTCGGGAAAGTAGTCATACATTCCCATTCCCGTCCGTCTGGCGTCGCTTACCTCACGTGTAATCGGGTTGAATTTTATAAATTTGAGTTTGAATTTGACAAATTTATTTTTTTAAATGAGTGTAAAAAATTATTTAAATTTGATTTATTTGAAACTTAAACCGAATTCTAGTAATTCAACTGTTTTATATATGAACGGACTTAGCCTTTTATATAGAGCACAAATCGAGCTCGAGTCAAGTGTTTTTCTGAGTCCAACTCGAATAGTTCATGTCAATTAACATCCATACTTCTCGGCCATACCTCCCTTGTCATCTTAGGGGCGGCCCAACATATGTGGGGTTCTGGACAAAAATGTTAAAACAAAACTTCAAAGTAATCACGGGTTTATCAATATGAAAAGAATAAATCTAACACATAATCTAATAATTAAATTAAATAACAAATAAATTTATGAAACAGTTACAATACAATAAATTAATTTTCATAGAGTAATTAAATTATACAGTATAAATTTCACTGAGGCTCCCTTGAGATTACCTTAATTTCAGGAACACTTCTTATAATTTCTATCATGCCACTGTACACCTTACAGACATGTAACAGAAAATGTGATGTCATTGGTTCTCTTATAGTGATATACCATATTTACAATCACGTTGACAGAGATTTCTGATTCATCTTTACCTCTTATTTATTGCGCAAAATTTACTCCTCTTTAGCAGCAGTACTTGGACATTTAATTTTATCAATTTAACACCAAATATTAATCAATTGACATTTAATTTCATTAATTTAAATATTAATTTCATCACACTAACACTAATTTTATTTAATTTAATACCAAATTAATATTTAATTTTATCAAATTCATATTATATTTCATCAAATTGACGTTTTAAATTTAATTCTATCAAATTAACATTGAATTTATTTAATTTGAATTTAGATTCATCAAATTGAACTTTAATTACACCAAATTGACATTTAATTTCATTAATTCAATATATAATAATATTACTTGTAATTTAAGAAGTTGCTAAGAAATGCATAGCAGGCATCTCTGTATCTTACAAAGGCAAATATTGTGGCATATCCCCCTCTTTTATCAGACATAATGCTTGGAAAATGTTAAGTATCTCTCATTTGGGATTTACAACCAATTCGATGATTGTATACTTGAGCTAAATAATATTATTGCTCACTCATACAAATTTATGCCAACTTGGTCTATCACACAAAAAACCAGTCCATGGTTACAATAGTATTAGTGTGATGAAATTGATTCTGTCTCTCCAACTATCATCTCAGACTCCTTTGATAGAGTCTATTAGAGATTTTGAGTCAGATTCTACTATGGCATCCAAGAATCCCTCTTCTATGGCCAATCTTCAAGCCCCTCTAACTGTTGTTGCTTCTGTAATCAAAGGCAAATGTCGCTGCCACATTTTCTTGTTTCCCCATGTATGAGATTTCCTTCATGATTGTGAACTGCCACTCCATAAGCTCCTCTATTCCGTTTTCCCATATATGCACCATCACAATTCAGCCTCATGCAGCCAAGTGTTAGGAGATGTCACAGAGGTGCTGTAGTCTCTGAACTCTTTTCCATATCTGTTATGCTCCCTTGAAAATAGCCTTCATCTACTGCCAACAAGGCTTGGTTGACTGCAATTCTTGCCTGTGGTTTTCGATGGTTATTGATGGGACACTTCTAGGAGGTTATTGTATTGACGATGCGTGTTCTAGGCACATAAGCACATATTTGTCTCTGACGAATCCACGTATCCTCGGCATTGAGGTACCTCTTTGCGCTGCCGAAGTCACGTGCCCTCAGCACCTAGACCCCTCCTGCTCTAGACATGTTCCTCAACGCCTAGGCATTTGCCCTCCCTCCGGGGGGATATAGGTGTCCTCGGCCCCGAGGGTACTTTCACAGCGCCTACCCCAAGTCTTCAACTTCTAGAGAAGGTTTTGATTGATAGCTGAACAATTTAAACTAGACTAGGAGTTAGGAGGGCACTCTGCACAATGGAGTCAGAATGACAGTGTGGACTAGACACTCCACTATCGAGAACCAGACGCGTGGCGTAAGGTACAAGACGAAGGGTAAGAAGATCGATCTACCCCTGCTAATAAGCGGCTGTTCCAGACAAATATTTAATGAATACCCAAATGATGTGACATTCATAATGACTTTAGAAGTCGAGGATGGGGGGTATTAAATGTCCTAGGCCCCTGCATTTAAAGTCTTTACATCGAAGAAAAAACATTAATTACTCGGAAGCCCGAGCAATCAATACTGGGGCATTCCCCCACGCAAAATAGGGGGTACACTGCCCCGTTCCTGGACACTACCTATTAACTAGACTGTCAGCAATGATTAGTCTTTGAAGGTATAAATAACCCTCATAAACACATTACAAAGATACGCAAAATCATCTCATAAGAGTCATACACAGTGTTTTCCTCTTCCCTTCTTTTAAAGAACTGACTTGATCGTCGGAGGGGATATGTTGGAGAACACTCCAACGCCCTTCTAACTTGCTTGTTGTATTCCAGGAATCTCCTGCAGTCCATTGGAACCGGTCAGGCATCTCTTGAGATAATTCATCACCACTCCTTAGACCCCCTTTGGCCCTCTCAACTTATTCCTTATTATCGGATCAACTACCTCAATGGACCTGAGTTCAACACGTGGGAGATTTGTTCCCATTTTAACTATTGTACGAAAATCATCCCACACAATTATATATCCAGTCATTGCGTGCTTTCCATGTCAACCAACATAGGTATGCCAACAATGTTTGATCACCTTTTGTTACTCCTCCACCCTTCAACAATTGTAATTACTCCATCAATCAGTCTTCAGTTCTCCTGATTTCATACCTATCTATATTTTAATAGTCAAAGGGGAGATCTGCTAGACTTTAGTAGTCCAAGGGTAGAGTAGCAACAAGTGTTCCATGGTTTCATCCTCTTCCCCACAAATTGGGCATGTTGGAGCTTTGGCTATCTTCCTCTTTCACAAATTCCCCTAAATTGGCAATGCCCCATTAATGACTTTTCCATAAGAAAGATTTGACTTTTGGCACTTTAATATTAGAGATCAGCTTCCAAAGAGCATCTGGCACTTGATAAGAAGAGGAAGTTGATGCGCTTGTCTTGGTATGACCTTCATGCTGAATTTGGAAATGGTAGTCATTTTTGACAAAGTAATTTCCATTTTTTGGTATATGGCCATCTAATTCTACCATCTTGTTGAGTCTCACTCAGTGGCAATCCTATGATGTCTCTTTCAATCTCTGATGGGAAAGTGGAGGCCACCTGTTCATTGTTCCGTGTGACAATCCGTATTAAAAAATTAATCGCTAACATGTAATTTAAGTAGTTAATTATGATCTTATATGGTTAATGATCATTTTTAGAAATTTCAAAAGAACAAATGAACTTCAAATATAATTTTTTTTATGTGCAAATAAGTCAAATAAGTATAATATAGGTCATATTTCGTATTAAAAATAAAATGTGTAATNAGGGAAAGAGAGA